ATTTTTTGGGTTTGCAATTGGTCTAGTGATGTTGTGATTCTTGTTCCTTATAAGGGTAAAGTAGTATTACTACAGTATTTAAGGAAGACGAAGAAGAAGAAAAGAAAAAGGTAAAAATAGGACCCATTGGATTGGACCAACATATATTTATAAAAAGTGTGTATTGTGGAAGAAACCCCTAATAAAGCCGTCCTACGAAAGATAAGTTGTTCCTGTCGGTATCATGACATCTAAAGGTCACTGTAACCACCATTTGTCTCCTCTAAGGTTATCCGAAAACTATACCCTAATCCTATGACCAAAAGAAATTTCAAAATTTTCGTTTAAAACGTTCATTTCCCTTTTTTTTTTTTTTAATTTAAATTGAGTTAGTTCCATTCGTAATTTGGTCTATGAAATGTATATCATCACATCATAAAAACTCATCTTCATATTTGAAGAATTTATTTTATTTGATGATTCATATTATATAGTTAAATATTGAATGATATGTGTTTTAAATAAACTTGTTATTTGGGCAAATCTATATGCATCTTAACGTTACGAGTAGCATGCATCGATCATTATCACATTTGAAAAAAGATGTACCATATGTTTCTTTTTTCGGAAGAAAAAAAGAAAGGAGATCCATGTTGAATGCCTCAAAATTGGGATAGGTATCGTCGGCCGGGATCTTGTATCAAACAATGCATGCATGCCCTTTACGTAAACCGATATATCCTTTTTTCACTTCCCATAGGTTCTTTTTCTCCTCTTTAAATGCTTTGAATCTCCACTCTAAACCTTTTGTCTCCCCAACACAATACTATAATTTACTCTCCGGGCACTCTCTTTTCCCTCATTCCATCATAATTCTACATGGGAGATTTCCCTTTGGTGTAAGTTACACATTATTGTTTTTTTGACTGGTCTTTATGTCCAAATAATATATATCTTCGATCTGCTCCCTGCATCTATCTTTATTCCCTGTCCTTTGATGAAGAAAAGTTTTGAGATCATCTGACAGAAAGCGATGTGCTAGCTACTAATTACATTTTCCACATTGGCTTGTTCACATATATTGATCCTGGCAATTTCAAAGGGCAGACACTCATGTCATCATCAGATTCTTTTAATTTGTTTTTTTCCCTTTTACTCCCCTACAGAACTAGCATAGTTTTGTGCAACTGCACATACCCAAAGCATGGATACTATTTACCCATCACCAAGATTTTTTAACATAAGTTTGTCAATTGGTCAAATCCCCTATGGATTCGCCTAATCTTAAATATTCAATTATTCGAATTTTTTTGGTTGTGAAAGGAGAGATATATGACAGTATTAAGTTTTTTTTTAATTATTTTTTATTTTGAGTACTATCACTACAAAAAAAAATGAGCATTTTTATGATGATAAAATTAATTATAAAAATTTAAATTTTAGACATAAATTCTATTGGTGATAAAAAAAATATGAGATTTTGTACAATAATAAAAAAAACAACCTTATGACATGCTGCATAATTAATTTTAATTCAAAACTTCCTAATTTTAAAAAATAATAATAATGTTACTGTAATGCTTAAGTCATTAACAGTAGTTAAAACTTAGAACTCCTGACTTTTATTGCACATATTCGAATCCTTGACGTAATAACATGGAATAGACCCGCTGTAGCTCATGTCAGAATACACATCCATATAATGAGTTAATCTTGGACTCATAATCAGATGGTTCTGAACAAAAATTGAAAGAATCTATAGTACCTTCGTAGGGAATTGTTTAATTGCTATCAGATTCAGAGTGGTTCTCATTACTAATTAGAATTAGTGGGGCTTGGAATCCGTCAGTAGTACGTGTCGAGTGCAAGCACAGTGCCCTGGCTCGGTAGCATCCTTGGCGACAAGATCCCAATCGAGTGGTTTTGTCAGCAGCTTCCCATCACAACTACTGGCACTCCACTATTATGATGGAATACCATATATTTATACTGTATTTTGTAATAATAATAATAATAAACAATATTTATATTAGAATTTAAACGTAATATGTATATAAGAGATTGAAGTGTACTCCGCACACTCTTACTTAGTCACTATGGAGGGATACTACTTAAGATTGAAGACCCACTTTTCATTAATGATTAAATGTTTTGACAAAACAGCATTATGTAAATATGTATTATTTTCCTAATTAATTATTTAACTACATGTACTACATCAAAAAAATTATTTTTTTACAGTAACATTTACAAATAGGATTTTATTTATTAAAAATGCACCATGACTTGGGGAACTAGTTAACATTATTTACTAGTTATTTCACAATAACAAGTCTTTGCCTAACGTACCAAAAAAAAGTAATGATTTGAGGGACGAATTTGGGGGACGAATTTGGGGGACGACAAGTGAAGCAGTCCAAATAGCAATTACCAATTTGACCTTGCTTTCACTTGTCGTTCCGCAAATTCGTCCCTAAGATCATTACTCACCAAAAAATATGTATATAAAATAATAATAAGAAGTCATGCAATAGTCATCTTCTAATATATCAAACGGGCCAATAAATTTACCCCAGAAGATCACCTTGGCCCATCAAAGGCCCTGAAAGTTATTACCTTGGTGCATTTTGATTTGAGCTTGGAAGGCCCAAACAAGCTTAAGCCCATTTCCCAGCTTTGCTATCGCCAGTCTCGGGCCGTTTTTTCTAAACGCAAAGTGCAGAAGTTTTGGGCCTCACTTGAATCCAATACGGACTTTCTGTCTGTTTCTAAACCCCTTCTTCTACCTAGTCTAAAACCCCTACCCTTTCTGCTGCTGTCTGTTACACCCTGGTTGATTCAACTGTTCTTCCCGATTAAGGGGAAAATGGAAAAAATTCGCTGGAGAAGTAAAATAAGCTTTTAAAAATGGAAATATGGAGCTTGAGACTTACGTGGACTCAATGGACTTAAAGGTTAAAGAGTTGTTAAAGGAGGTGCGGCTTGAACACACACTTGCTATCACCGGACTCGTGATGATGCAGTTTCCGCCGTCAAATCTGCCTTGGAAAGAGTCCCAGATGATTTTCAGGTCCCTTTTAAATTATTTATCATTTTCAATCCTTCTTGGTTGTGTGGAAGAACAAATAATCCAAGTCTTAAGCTCCCTATAAAATAAGTAGTGTCATTTCCTATAAATTTATTGTTGTTCAGAAAATTTATGCAGGTAACGGCTGATTTAGCTCCAGGATGAGGCTGCAATGACTTTAAAATGTAAGGTGAAATGTAGAGATGGTGGATTTGAGGAAGTTTTTACAACCAAGGTTGACTACCCAGCTAAATATGACTATTGAATAAGGTACAATTGTTCTTCTCTTGCCTGTTCTATAAATTCACTATAATGAAAGTATGATCATAACTCTATCTTCTTTCCATACCAACCACCCTGGTCCCTGGAAATTGGTACCAAATATGCAGTAGATGGTGGACTACTCTCTTGACTGCATGTTCCTTTTGGAGCTTGGCAACCCCCTTCAGTTTTTAAGTTGTTTTTTTCTTGCTACCTGTAGTGTCTGGGGTATCTAGTGTTTTAATTTGTTTCATTATATTTTACTTTGCTCTCCTAGATTGAATTTGAAAGGAAATGATGATTTTTATGCGTTGGACTTTTGTTTGGATGATGAGAGTTGGAGACTATATGAGCAGAATGTACATTGCCTGCTACTTCAAGGATTAAGTGATAGAGCAAAAACCATATGTGTTATTTGGAGCAACACCCATTCAGAATACAATATAGAAAATGTATAAATCAAATATAAACTTAAGCTTGTGTTGTTAAGTCTTCTCAAGTTTACTTCTAAAACTTCTTTCATGATTCCAGGGCTTTTCTGTACTTGATAATGAGCAATTGTTCGTTGAAATTTCATTGAGTTCCTTAGAGAGGGCTTTTAGGGTTGTAGATATTGGTCCTAATGCTGAAAATAAAGAGGAGGTATTTGAGTTTAATTTTATAAAATTTATTACACAATTTTATTTTCACTCACACTAATTTTTTGTTTCTTTTGCACCAGGCTCTATTGTTCCGAAAGTTTTGGGGAGAGAAGGCAGAGCTACGAAGATTTAAAGATGGTGCAATTGCTGAAAGCACATGTGAGCAATTTCTGTGTGTGTGTTTTAAATGTTAATTGGCTTATCATGCCTCAGAGTGTGTTCAAATTTTTTCCCCAAACACCCATCTAACCTCCATCCTTCACCACCCCCCACCCAAAGAGAAAGCAAAATAGTAACTTGATGGTTTTGTTTTCTCAATGTTGTAGGGTGGGAGAGTGAGCAGTAGGCAAGGCATCTCATTCTAAAGAGAATTATTGAGCATTTACTCCAACGGCATCTTTCTTTGTATAAAGATAATATTGAGCAAATAGTAGATCAACTTGATTTCTCCTTGCTTCATGGTGGTAAAGGTATTGTTATCTGCCATTTACCCACTATCAATCTTTGTGATCTTTCTTCTTCTTCTTCTTCTTCTTCTTCATTTTTTTTCCTGTTAATCATGCAATGTTTTATAACAATTCCACTAGCAATTTCTCAGACCCAATTTCATATTCTGGAAGATTGCTTGGGGCGTTTGAAGAATTATCAAAGTGCTTGCATGGTATAAGAGATGTTCCCCTGTGTGTATCTAGTATGCAACCATTGGACTCTGGTACTAATCTTAGCAAGAAAAGCATTCTTTCCTTCTTGTCTCCGGTTACCTCCTCATCTTTTCCTAGTGCCTTTTTTTTTTTTTTTTGCCATCAGTGCTTGTTCTTGTTGGGATGAGTGATGTTTGAGGTATATTATAGATTTTCTGCTGCCAGATAGATTTTTTTTTTCTTTTTTTTTTTGTTGTATTTGCATGTGGTAATTGGAATGAACTGGGCCAAAAGCTTCATCTATAAAAAATCATGGGTGGGGAGGGTAATTAGGTTCCCAATCATAGAATTTCCATTCAGTATTGTACTTTCAAGCTTTTCTATCTTCCCATCCTCAGC